CACAGGAAACAAAGCTCCCCTCTCCACTCCTTCCTTCCTTCCTCTTTCTCTCCATCACTCTCTCTGTCTGCTTCCTTTTTTCACGTCTTCCTTCCATGAGCTACAGCATATATTAAATTCAACATCTTAAGACCTTTGGTAGATAAAGTTCCATTGGCTAAACACAAAGACAACTTTGTGAGTTTGGTGTAACCATCACACCAAAAGCCTATAAGGGTGGCATAAGTGACGTGAATACAGGACTCAACTTGAGTACCATCTCCTTCATCGAAAACATCTGCAGGGATGTACTGGCATCATTTGGTTTGTGAAGAACTGCATTGGTTCTGCACAGAATATGGCAGCCTGATTTCTTTGTAGAACAATTATGAGTACTTTATAGAGATGTATTTGTGCATTCAAATTGTTACTTTTTTTCCTATAGCTCTGACTATAACAATGTGAGTAAATGGTAGTTACAACTATCTGTACAACGGAAGTTAAATTAATGACCCGGTTGTTTGAGACCATGTCCTACATTCACACTGAAAACAGAAAATCTGTAGAAATCCAGTAACAAACATTGTTTCCTTTGGATGCTTGTTTCTCACTTATACCTGATCCATCGTTCATTCTTTCCAAGTCTTTCTTTGCATCATGAGTTATCAAAAGCAACTTGGGTCATCTAAAGCTAACTGCCCCAGTGAAATGTCAGTTTGTTAAGAAAAGTCAACAAGCCATAAAGTGGCATAAGTAACTGATAGAACTTCAAAGGAAGTTATTTCTTTCATTCTAACACACCTTGGCACCATCGTAAAGGTACCAGTCCTTTCTTTCCATGAAAAAACCCCAAAACCAAAAAACAAAAGAAAACCCTTCTCTTCCTTTTTAGCAGGTTTAGATCGACCTGAGGCGACTGGGGAATTTACCAGAAACACTTAAAACAGTGGAAAGTAGATAAACTAAGGCGACTACTCTCTATAAATTCTAGAGACAAATAACAGTTCTACAGAAAAATAATTTTTACACTCTAAAAGAGTCTTCAAATGGTGTTAGAGTCCTGAATCTCCCAGATGGACCCTAATAGAAGCTCCAGTCTGGTATATACGAGGATACTTCAAAAAGTTTGTTGAAAAATTGAATTAAAGGATAATATGAATCTTTCCATGAACTTTTCGAAGACCCCTCATATGTTCATTACTGCTGGCAACAGCCATGCTTACACCACCATTTATGAAGCACATACTATGAGCCAGGCACCATGCTAAATGCTTCACATGCATTATTTTATCTAATCCTCCCAACAAACCCTAGAGGAGAAATATTATCATTTTATAGATCAGGAAACTGAGGCTCAGAGACAGAAAAGATTGCCCAAAGTCACCCATCTAGTGTGTGTGGTGCAGCTAGGATTCGATCCACTGTGTATCTGATGCCAAAGCCCACACTCTTACCTTTGCACCATGCACCTTCCCCATGGATGTGCAATTTAAACTCCTGAACTCTTTACCTACAAGGCTTTGTTGGAGTGACTCCTTTTCCCCAAGAAGGTTACTTACCTAAATAATTTGAGATTATCAGCAAGTTTAGGGATATCCGTAATGTCCTCCTAAGGAAAAATAGACAACATTTCAAAAAAGGAATTTCACATGTGGTGCTGATACTCTATGTCTGCACCGTGCCAATACATAGCCACTTGCCACATGTAGCTACTTACATCTGAATTAATTCAAATTAAATAAAATGAAAAACTTAGTTCCTTAGTCACACTAGCCACATTTCCAGTACTTACCTTAGGGTAGGGGTAAGGAGGTTTGGGAGTGGGATGCAGAACACGCAGGGGCTCTTCAGTGGCTGCAAAATGCTATTTCTTGACTTGGGTGGTGACTTGACTGATAATTTAATACTAATTTGTTAAGCTGTACATTTATATGTTTTTCACTTTTCTACATCTTATAGATCACAAATATAAAACACAGATGAAAAAAATTGTCCAAGCATTTCCTTTACCAACCATTCAAGTTAAAAATTTGACTTAGAAATGACTACGTTTATGTGCAAACAAAATATTTTACAATTTTTACATTATAGAGTGGGTAACTAGTTCTGTCTAGGTCACTGATTAAACTCTCCAAAGGAACTTGGTTCAAAGTTCATTCTGCAATGTAGGTTGGTACTTGTTTTCATACTGAAAAACCTATTGTTCAGTGCCACATAAAAATACTGAGGGAGGGCAGAAGAAATTTTTTATTTGCTCTAAGAAGGATCACTTTCCTGTTGTATTTATCCAGTGCAGGAAGTATACAAGACAGAGCTCCAATTTCAGGGGGCCCGTGTCTCTAATAAACACGAGACAGAGCTCAGCCTCTCTACAGAATCTTGACATTTAGTTTGTATTAAGTATTTGCTCTTACATAATACCAATTTCCTATTTTAAGACATTTAATGATAAGAGAACATACACTGAATGCATAAGAATACAGTGACTCACTGTTACCCATTATCACCACTTAGATCCATTTACGACAGACCCACCTGTCTGATTCAATGTGATTAAACTAATAATTACTCCCATGATTAAAGAAGTTAAACAAAAGGGTGGCACCCAATGAATGAATCAGATAGGACTGGCATTCCAACTATAAAGCTGGCATCCAGCCACATTTCATGGAAAAGGAGGAAGAGATGATAAAACAGTTTTATTTCTTTATGTTTC